AAACCCCAAAAAAAAAAAAAAAAAAAAAGCCTTTTCAGAGTCTCCAAAAAGAATACAGCTTGCTGTCACTCTGCTTTTAGCCAAGTGAATCTCATATCGGACGTCTAACCTCCAGAACTGTCAGATAAGAAGTTTGTGTTGTTTTAAGCTACTATGTATGTCTGTAATTTGTTATAGCACCCATAGGAAACCAAACACTAGAGAAAAGTTCCCCAAACAGGACACAGGACACAGCAGGTTAGAAAAGATGCTTACTCCTTCTAGGAGCTACAAGTGCTACCATATGGTCACGTTCTGCCCAGCTGCAAGCAGGCCACACCTGGATATGTGTCCCGATCCCTATATGGTTTGTTCTGAGGGCTGCTGCCTGTCTAGAAACATAGGTATGAGGTCACTCGGCTACTTGCACCACTGTCCCCACATTCACTCTGCTGGCTATGGGGCCCCACCTTCTGAATAAAGGCCAGATACCACTATACAAGATATACAGCTGAGGAACCTGACATTCCAAGATGTGGAATAGCTTGTAACTAGTTGGCTGAGCTACAATGGCTGTTATATCCACTGTTTTGGGAGCTTTCCAAAAATCTGGATTCCTGAAATCCTGTCATTTGTGGCAACATGGATGGAACTGGAGGACATTATGCTAAGTGAAATAAGTCAGGCTCAGAAAGGCGAATACCGCATGATCTCACTTATATGTGGAAGCTAAAAAAAAGTTGATCTCATAGTAGTAAAGAATAAAATTGTGGTTTCCAGAGCTTGGGAAGGGCTTGAGGAAGGGAAATGGAGAAGGGATGCTTAATGGGCCCAGGGTACATTTGGGTAGGAGGAATAACTCCTAATGTTCTAAAGCACTGTAGGGTAACTATGACAATAGTTAATTCAGTATTTCCAGGTAGGTGGAAGAGAGGATTTTGAATGTTCCTAACAAGAAAATTATAAGTGTTTGAGTCATTGGGCATGCATTTACCCTGATCTAATCATTATATATCTTATACACATATTAACATGTCACTCCGTACCCTATAAATGTGTACAATTATTATGTTACCATTAAAAACTTCTTTTAAAATTAAAAAAAAAAGAACCTGGGCTGGGGATTTAGCTCAGCGGTGCTGCTGTCTGCATCTATATTCTTGAGGCCCCTTACATAGTAACTTAATAAAATCTCCAAGTATCAAATCTAAGTATCTGTCCTCTTACTCTCCTCCCCAGGTAATTCCAAACACTGAGGTCAATTCAGAGATCAACACACAGAGTAGCTCTGAGCTTCCAGGACAAACCCTCCTCTCACCAGGGGTAACCCTCAAGAACCTGACCCTGTCCTTGCAGAGTGAAGGACTGCTGTGCTCTTCTCTTGGGTACAAATAAATGGTTCTAGGTCTCATCTGCAAGATGAGAGTCGTTTGGAAGCTTTTAAAAACCAAAAGCCATCAGGTGTGATGACAGACATCTACAGTCCCAGCACTCTAGGAGTCAGGAGGATCGAGAGCTCCAAGTCCAACCTAGGCAACCCAGCAAGACACTATCTCAAAATAAAACTTTTAAAAAATGTTAAAAGGGCTAGAGATATAGCTTAGTGCACAGGCCCCAAGTTCAGTCCCCAATACCAAATGAAAGCACCTTTCAGCCTATGGCCACCAAGGCAGAGGCTCTGATTCAGTTGGTCCAAGTAGAGAACATCTTCAGAAGTCCCTGAAGCTCCCTAATTGACTCTAATGTGTAACCCAGATGAAAAACCACTAACCTAAAGCAGAAATAACTGTAATGAAAGCTCACACTATACTCGTGATAGAGTTGTGTTTCGTACGTGTATATTGATTTAACCCATAAACTACATTATGAGATAGACACAATTCTAATCCCTAATTCATAATAAGGCAACAGAGGCACAGAGCAAAAGTAAGTTACTTGGTCAACAACACTGTCTTGGTCTGTTTTCTGTTGCTACAACAAAACACCTAACATTGAGTGATTTATGAAGAAGTACGTTTCCCATGGTTCTGGAGGCCAGGAAATCCAGTATTAAGGTGCCAGCCTCTGGTGAGGACCTTCTTGCTGCTGGTGCCATGACAGATGGTATCACATGCAGAGATAAAGCAAGTGTGCTGGCTCAGGTCTGTTCCTCAGGAAGGCCTATCATCACGATCTCATCTAATTCTGCATCCCAACGGCCCCACCATCAACATATGAATCTGAAGATTCAGTTTCCAACACCTGAACTTGGAGCATGCTATTGTATGTTTAGAATGGATCTGAAATGTCCCCCCAAGGCCCATGCATTCAAGATTTGGACCACGGATTGGTCTTATTGGAAGATGGTGGAAACTTTAAGAGATGGGACCTAGTGGTAGGTCTTCCCATCACTGGGCATGTCTCTCTCTCTCTCTCTCTCTCTCTCTCTCTCTCTCTCTCTCTCTCTCTCTCTCTCTCTCTCTCTCTCCTCCTAGCCATGAGGTGTGCAGCTTCCCTCTACCAGGTATTCCCTGCCATGATGTGTCGCCTTGCTACAGGCTCAAAAACGCCAAGGCCAACTAACCACAGACTGGAACCTTGGAAATCATGAGCCAGAGTAAACATTCTCTCATATAAATTGCTTCTCTCAGGCTTTTCATTACAGTAACAGAAAGCTGACTAAGACAGGAAGACACACTCAAACCACAGCAGTCACAAAGCAGGAGTAGTGGGACTTCAACCCAATAGTTTGGCTCTAGCATCTGTGAGCTCTCCATCTCCCCAACCCATGCGCAGACCTCAAGGAGCTCACATTTCACGGTAAGTTCCCCAGTGTCAATAAATTCAGTGTCAGCAGACTGTCCATCCATCCCCTTTGTGTCTCGGCCTAAAGCCATCTCTTGTTGCAAGAGGAAAGACAACTGGAAGGGGCTTTCCTTCCTCCCGCACTCTGACTGCACACTCCCCCACTCCAGCACAGGCAGGGGCCCTGGGACATACAGAAGTGCCTCACTGGGGCAGCCCCTGCACCGGTGCCATTGATCCACCTCTCAGCCCTCACCCCTCACACTGTCACCCCTGAAACTGCACACACCTGGAGCCAGGTAGGGTGTGTTTTTTTCTGGAGAAGCCACATTTTATCTGATTTGAAACGCTGTGTTCTTTTAAAAATCGTTTTAAAACACCACGAACAGATGGGCATCAGGAAATGAGAGGAAAGACGTTTACAAAAAGGATGTGTAGAACAGTGCCCATCTTGTACCAATATATATATGTAGATACATTTTTAAAACTGGAAGAATATACACCAAGATTCTGACAGAAGGCTGGTTTTCATTCTTTCTGATTGTCTGAGTATTCTAAATATTTTACAACTAATTTGCATTACCTTTGAAATACGGAAGAGGAAATGAGAGTATTTTTAAAAGCAATGGTCTATAATAAATTAAGATGTTTGAAATTCTAACCAAAAGTATTTTTGTACCTAATCCTATATTAGTGAGGGTTGCTAAGGAACCATGAGCTGCAAATTAGGAATAATCCCAACCATAGCTCCAAAGGGTAAAAACCAAAGCAAACAGAAGCCACTGGATAGGAGAAAAGAACTGGGGGACCAGTGTGTTGTTGCGCTGGCTCCTTTTGCCCAGCTCACATGAAGAAAGAAGCTTTTTCCCCACACACACAAACTCTGCAGAGGGGAAATGAAACAGAGTGAAGGTCTAAGAAACCTCCAGAGAAGAGCCAAAAGCACAGAACTAATATTGTCCCCATTTTGCAGACAAGAAAACTGAGCCACAAATAGCAACTTGTCCCAGGTCACACTGCTAATACATATGGGCCGGTGGCCTCTGAACCCAGACAGCCTGATTCCAGATGCCTCAACTTTCACCATTCAGTGACAGCACCATCACCCCACCCCACCCCAAAAGGGAAGAGCATGAGCTTTTGCTCAGGTCAGAAAGCCAGGAATAAGACTACTGCAGTTTTCATTGCCAAAGTCAGAACAAGAGGGAGTATTGGCCTCTCTCCTTAGAGCAGAACAAGTAGGGTTAGAAAAAGATGGAGAGATATTAAGAGGAAATAGAAAGAAAAGTATAAGGATTATGTTGGCATTTATTTTATGCATTTCTGCTAGGTTCATTGTTTCTACAAATAGGGTGTCATTTATTGTTTATGCTTACCTGCTTAGCAAAGGAACTATGTGGTATATATATTTTATGTCCACGTGTGTGTGCATGTGTAAGTGTATCCCCCTGCTTGTGCATATGAGCACTTGTGCATATATGCAGGCTTGTGTGTGACTAGACATGTGTGCATATGAGCATGTGTGTGCCAGAGCTATGGGTTCCTGCTGTGTGTGCGGGTGTCACATGGGTGAGTGTGGGTGCAGGCGTGATGAATGGCCACACCCATAGGAAGCCTGTCTGCACTGACCATCCCCAAATATTCGTGTTTTCCCAGAGGCAACCTGGCTTCACTGCCAGCAAAATTCCTCATCGGAAATAAACAGCCTCCAGGGAGCCGGCCCTCAGCCCCATGCTGGAAGTGACAGCAGATGTCTCCTCCTCCACCCCCCGCCGTGAGCCCATGGGGCCCTGCATACAGAGGGGCTCAGTCTGAGTTGTTGACTAACTGACAGCAAGCAGGGCTGTGGCTGGGCCATGGATGCGATCGCCAGGGGCGCAGTGAGTGGCCGCTTTTGGTAGGACAACTCGGCTTTCACATATCCTCAGAGATGAAGAAAGCGTGCTTTTTCCCTCACTGCAGATACATGGGGCACAACGACTGTCCCCGGCTGGCCAGCCGCACAGGCAGCCACCAAAGCCTGCATGGCCAGCCCTGAAAGAGGCACCTCATCTCCAACTCCTCCCAATCAGCTATCAAACTTAACCCACCCATTCTTTTTTTTTTAATTGATACATAGGTTTAAAGGTATAGTTCAGCAGTAAAGCACTTGCCTAGCCAGACTGAAGTCCTAGGTTCCATCCCCAGAAAAAGAAAAAAAGAAATAAAAGTTGATGCATAAGTATACATTTTATGGGGTACCGAGTGATATTTCATACCTGTGTGCGGTGTCTGTGATGGTCAGTCAGGGTCACTAGCATTCCATCAACCCAAATACTCATTTTTTTTTGTGCTGGGAACTTTGAAACTCCCTTCTTCTAGCTATTGAGAAAAATACAGTAAATTACTGTTAACCACAGTCACTCTACTATGCAATAGAGTGCTAGAACTTATTCCTCCTATGTTACTATAATTTTGGCCTGTTAACCAACATCTCTCTAACTTCCTCTCCTCTCTACCTTCTCAGGCTCTGGTAACCACAACTCTACTCTTCAGTTCTAAGATCCAACTTTCTAGCTTCCAGAAGTAAGTAAGAAGTTGCCTGTGCCCTATGTTTACTGCAGCATTACTCATAATAGCTGAGATATGGAATGAAACTAAGTATACATCAGTGGATGAGTGGAATAAAAAAAATATGGTGGAATATTACTCAGCCTTAAAAAAGAATAAAGTCATCCTGTCATTCACTGCAACATAGATGAACTTGGAAGACATTATGCTAAGTGAAATAGGCCAGGCACAGAAGGACAACCACAGAAAGAGATTCAGGCTGGTCACTCTCTGCTAAGACAGTAGCCCCATGCTCAAGTCTGTCCCTCAGACGGTACCATCTGGGAGGGCATCCCACTTACTGAGGTTTTCTTGGAATGAGGCAAACTACAAGAAAGCAAAACCTCATAGAAACATCTTAGCAAGTAGGGCTCCTTCTTGTGTAATCCTAATAGCATCAGTAACCTCAAAGAATATTGCAAGTGTGGAAAGTACTTTAACCAACTATAGAAATGATCCCTGAAAGTATAGCCTTTAGAAAGTTCTTTAAGCAACAAGCGAAGCACTTCCTCGGATGGCTTGCAGGAGGCTGCACTCACTATGAGAATGGAATCACTTGGGACTCAGGTCAAAGGGGACAGGCCCTAAAAAGCACCTTCTCAGATTCAGGGGCACAGCTAACCTCAGTTATACCCCACCTGAGGTGGTCCTTTTCCAGATTTTTAAGCCACAAAACTCTGGGATCATCTCCAAAGCAATGGAGAAAAGTACAAAAAACAAAACAAATCAAGAATCATGTAGGTTATTTTTAAAGCACCCTGAAGAGAGGTGCCCACTCCCCGCAAAGGTCAGCTGCAGAATAAGAGCAAATGGTAGAAGGTGATAAGAGGCACAACAGGCTTTGAGGCTGCTGATTAACAGTGGGCAAGGAAAGAAAGTGCCATACCCAAGCATGTGACTGCAGAAGTGAGGCTGAAGATGAAAACCCTTCCTTCTCTCCTCAAGCAGCTCACTGGCATCTGTTCTGCACCAGGTCCCAGAAGACACATCTTCTGAAGGCAAGAAGGTGATGGGGAAAGTTAGTTCCCACGACTCCCCTCCTCTGCCTGACCATCTCCCTCCACCATTCTGAGCCGGGCAACCCTCGGCCTCCCAGGCCTCATCCCCTCTGGCAGGAACCAAAGCTGCATCCATGCATCTCATCTCAGAGATGTAAGATGGCAACCCAGTGGGGTCAGGCCCACCACAGAGCAGCGGCAGAGAGAGAACCAGAGCCTGGATCTCCTACAGCCCCTCCCACTGCTGGCGCAGTTTCTCAGGCAGGTATCTGGACACAGGAAAAGCTGCAGGACTCCGGTGCTCCTCAAGTTATACACAATAAGGTGGGCCCCAAAGAGCACCCCATCATGACGCTGGAGCATCTGACTTCTCATCTGTAAAATGGCCATGATTCCCGGATCTCTTATCCCTCAGTCAACGCACATTCAGAGACCCCAAACCCTTCTTGAGGCCTCTGAATGCCTTAAACACCACACTAATCAGGCCAGGTAACTGTGGCGGGGGAGAATCACAGGCCAACAGCGATGAGATTGCATTTTAGAAGGACTGGTCTACACAGGACTCAACTAGAAACACATGTAGATTAGAGGGGAGCAGAAAGCCCAGCCACCAGGCCCCTGTGTTATTTCAGGTGAGGGGGGCACGTGGGCCAAGCTGAAGCTGAGCACAGCCAGCCGTGGATCCCAGAGGTATTTCTCTATTAAAACACAGTTCTCTTCTGGGTGTAGATGGTAGTGAGGGTTGCACAGCAATAGGAATGTACTTAGTGACTCTGAATTGTACACCTCAGAAGTGGTTAAGATGGTAAATTTTATGTTACATATATTTTACCCCTACAAAGAAAAAAATAAAACCTTTCCCTCACCAAGTAACACTCATTTGCCAAAAGGACCAAGGGCATCAATGCTAGGATCACCCTCCACTCGGTTTCAAAGACCATGCAGAACAAAGATGAGGGACATTTATGAGGCACATTTACTGTGTTCACATATTAACTCGCTGGCCTTCACAATAACCCTATGAGCTGTTATTATGCCCATATTACAGATGAGAAAACCAAGAGCATTGTCCTAACACGGCTAGTAAGGTAAAGATGGGACTTGAACCTTTGCAGGCTAAGTCAAAAGTCTGTGTATTTCTGTACTACACTAAATTGCCTCTAGTTAGATGCTAAACATCTAAATCGGAACAAAACATTGTTGTCTACTGACAAGCTAGCCCCACAATTCACTTATTTGGCTCCACAGAGAGCAGAAATCCAGGCAGCTGACTGAATTTATTTTTCCATTTTCATCCAGATGTTTGGCATCACATAAACAAGATGATGTGCCCATGAGTGGGAGCCACTCAGGAATTAGAACTCTGTCACCAGTAGACACACTGTCTTAATTCAAGGTTGTCATTTCATGAATTAACATCCTACCCGATGATGTTTGCTTAACCTCCTAGGATATTTTACTCTTCAAGCATCTGTAGCCAATCGCCTTTTGGTCAACTCTGTGCATGTTTGAGTACCAGTTAATAGACATTCTGACTATTTCTCGTTCTCCTCTAGTATTAGCCCAGGTTACACTGAACTATTTTTTTTTCAGCTCCACAAATAACAAAAACCATGCATATTTTAACTTCATTTCTGGGATTAAAGTAAATACACAATTTTGGCAAATTACTCAGAATTATGGGCTAGCAGCATCTGGTTCGGATATTCTCAAGTAAATTATTGGCACAGTCCCCGCCACATTTTTAATTTTAACCAAAATGTTCTCAGAAACATGTGTTTTCTGTCCCGTTTGCATGTAATCAGTTTGAGAGGGCCTTGGAGTCTTAAACGGGGGGTTCAGAAATTAGCTGCAACACCTGGGCACTGCCCGCAGGCCTCCAAGCCACCCTCCCTCTCTCCCTCCCAGCACCAAGAGAGGTGGTAACCAAGGCCAGCGGCCGGTGGCTTTCGGTTGCTGCCTCCAGCTCTGCAGAAGGAAAAAGGCCCCAGGTACTGTGTGTACGCGTTCCTCACCCTTTGCTCTTCTCCTTCGCTCTTCTCCCAAATTACATACCTCGCTTTTATGTCAAGTCCAATATAGCTTCCTTAGCAGTTTTCCCCCCTCCTTATTCCACATCAAGAGTACCCAATTACTTTTATAAATACTTGTTTTAAAAATATCACAGTGGCTTCCTGCTGCTTCAAGTTCTGAAGGGCTGTACAGGATTTTAGACTCGTATAAATCTTTCAAACAGTTCATATTTTATCAACAAAGTGTGCTTTTTTTTAAACCCTAAGTATAACTCCTCATTGAGGACATTTTTTCAATTATTTGACCTTTCCCTAAAATGACAAAATAAAAGGAATTTTCCTGCCATTTCAAATGTCATTTGCAATGCCCTCCTTGTGTTTATTAATTCTGCCTCGCCCACCAACAAGGGTGGTGTCTTTGGTTAAAAGAGAGCATAAGGGTTGTAACATCCCAACAGAGGTAAAGCAGGGTTATGTGCCGGGTCTTTAAAAGAAAATTCCAGGAAGGCCTTGGCTTTTGTTAAAACTGAAAAGTTCCCTATCTCAAGGAAGGGGCTTCCTGTGTGAATTTTCTCTGTGGTCACCAGGCCAAGTCATGAAGTGTCACCAGGGTCCAGCGTGCACTGTGGAGGTGTCCTCAGGTTGTCACCATCCTGCACAGTCCCCTTGGCTGTGTGGTTTTTCCACTCAGAATAACTTGAAAATCCCCAAGGGATGGTGTTTAGGAGAGGAATCTCAGAATGATACGCAACTATGAGAAAGACTCAGTTCTTAGCATGACAACAATCAATCTGTAGCTGCAACCAAATGAATGCCAGAAAGCTTGGGAGCATAACATCTGTCTTAGTCCACCTCTGCTGCTATAATGAAATACTTTGCACTCAGTAATTTATAAACAACAGAAATTTTTTTCTTACAGTCCTAAGGGCTGGGAAGTTCAAGATTGAGGCATCAGGGGACTCGGTGCCCGGGGAGAATTGTTCTCTGCTTCCAAGATGGCACTTTGTTACTATGTCCTCACAGGGCGGAAGGTAGAAGGGCACCATGAATGGGCACTGTGCCCAAACAAGGCAGAAGAGTCGGAAGTACAGAAGAGGTGAATTATCTCTCTCAAGCCCTTTTATGAGGGCTCTAATCCCACTCCAATAACATGGGCCTAATCACACCCAAGAGCCCCTTCTCAATACCATCACCTCAAGGGGCAAGTTCTAACAGGAATTTTGCAGGCGCACATACATTTAAGCCACAACAATGTCCCTAAGGTCTCTAAACTTTGATTTTATGTCTGGAAACCATCCTGGAAACAGAGGCAGGTTGAGAGGTAACCAGGGGAAAGAAATATAGTTATGGTAGATTTTAGAGCCTGGAGCCTCAAATACCCAAAGAATAAGCCTCTGAATTGTGGGCTCAAGTCTGGCCTTTGGTTATATAACTTTGACTTTCCTCTGAAAATGCAGGATAGTGCTTCTGATCAGTTTAGAGCCAACATCCCTTGGTCTACCACCCACACATTCACTTAGCAAATATGTGGTGATCACCTAGGATGTTTTCATTTCTCCTGGGAGCTAAAGAGGATCTGAAGAAGTACAAAATGGGTCACCATCCCCAACATTGAAACCAGGTAATGCACTACAAAGCTATGTAATCCCACAACACTGCAGGAGGAGGGCCAAAAGAGGCCTCCAGACAGCCTATGCAATAGGAATAGGGAAGAAAGCCAAGCTCCCAGAGCTTGGCTACCAGGACACTTGAGACAAGCACCCAAGGAGGTGTGTGAGTTAGGTTTTCCAGAAAATCAGTACCAATAGGGTGTGTGTGCATGTGTGTACACGGAGACCTTGGTTTTGCTCTTAAGACCTTCAGTTGAATAGATGGGGCTCACTCACAGTTTTGCTTACTGTCAGCTGATCACGGATGGTAACCCATCTATAAAATACCTCCTCTGCAACCCTACATTAGTGTCTGATGAGAGAGCTGCATAAATAATCCAAGCAAGCTGACATAAAACTAACCATCCAGGAGCCATCTGACAAGGAGTAGGAAGAGACAGGCTAAAAAGGTACAGGTCAGGCAGAGGAGGCAAAGGTGGGTGGGGTGTTGATGGTGAGGAGGGCAAGCCAGGGGCCAGAGTGGGGAGCCACTGTGTGGGAGTCAGTGCGGGGAGGACTCTGGGCTCCCTGCTAAGAGGCCTGTGGCTGAACTGGCCTCTGGGAGTTGTTAAAGGTTTCCTGTGAGACAGGCAATACCACAAACTGGCAGGAGTATCAGGATAGGCTAGAAAGAACAGGCCATGGAGAAAGCAGCTAAAGGAATAGGAGGGAAAGACCAGAGCCTAGGCTGGGGGTGGGGGAAAGACAGGGATGGAGGCAGAAGGGTGAATGGCTGAGAAGGCAAGTGGCTAGGGCTGGGAAGAGGCTGAGGTGGCCCTGTTGAGAGACTGAGCTAGGAGAAGGATGGTCCCTGTGGGCCAAGGCAAGACAATTTAGAAGTCAACTTGAGGGCAAGATGAGGAGATTTTCTCAAACTTTTGAGGGTATGCTGACTGAGACCTCTGGGGACACATAACCAGACTGAGATCAGAGCAGGGGATCAGGTAGACAATTTGGGAATAAATGATAGATAGAAAAACACTGATGTCTTAGAAAGTGACAGTCACCAAAGAAGAGACTGAAAAGATTAAAGAACTAACAGGTGAACCAAGGGCAGGCAGTGAGGCTGGGAACAGAAATGAGCCACCTCTCAGGGATTCTCCCTCATGTAAGGAAACCTCAGAGAAAAGGCCACAGTTGGGCAGGAGATGTGACCAAGAAGAGGGGCCGAGGCAGAGACACGTGGAATCAACCCCTCTGGAGACTCGAGGTACTAGCAGCCCCCCAGCCAACCCTGGGAGAATAGAAGTCCCTGGACATCTAGTAGATAGGGGACAGGTACGCAGGGATGACTGAGAACGGAGGAGCCCATAACAGGGGTAAAGACAAC